CCCCCAACTCCAACACACACATTTTCCTTCGTTTCAAACTTGACTATCTGTTCTATATCTGTCTCTTTACAGTGGTGATTTCTCTTCATAAGCTCCCCTGTGCGTCTTTTTGTTTAATTTTAGAGCTCTTCGAATATTTTTTTTGCCTCTTCAGAATGTATAAGCTTCCTGTAAACACTGGAATTCTGAAGCTCTTTGTATTGAGTGCTTCATCTGTAGTTTGTCAGCTTCATGGAACCTGAAACCTGAATGTTCTATAAAACTCAAATTCTTCTGTTCTTTTGCTATAGGTCCTGGTGGACCACGGCTTACTGGAAAGAGTTAGGGAAAAGACTTTGGAGTTAAATTCTACGGTCTCGCATTAATAATAAAGTTAAAGTTTTAATTTTACTTCAAACATACATTGACAAACCTCTGTCAGACCTGCCTGTCATGACCACTGTCTTGTTTTCATTTAATAGCAGGATGACTATAATAAATACATTTCAGGATGTATTTTGTGAAGTAGAGATTGATTTATTTTGAATTCATCACATAATGAATGAACTCTCTGCTCTCTGCTGCTGTCTACAATGTTAAGTATGAAAAAAGTGAGAAAAATGGAAATATGTCCAGGTAGGGTTTTCAAAATCATTTTAACTTTCTTACTCTCAGTTTAACTTAGCTACGTCTCCCCTAGAGGTTTAAGTGGGGAAAATGGGGAGCTTTATTTAATTGTACGAAGATTTGAGCAATCTTCAAGTCTGAAGAAGAAGTTGTGAATTAGCGCGAACAGAAATGAGAGCATGGCATTTAGCATTCCAGTCTGAGTGAAAATTTAAATATCTTATTTTTCCTTATATGAATCCACCAATAACATCCCTCATTTCTTTAGCATCAGCCGATTTATTAGTTTTAAGCTACCCTAGCCCCTGTATAATCTCTGTCTTGTACCGTATTCCAAGTATGTGCATTACCTTGAATAGCTACTGCTTCAATTTGACAGTTAATCATTTGAGAGGAACTTTAGAAAAACTTTTCTAAAAATCAAAATCTACTATATTATATTGTAACAGATTCAGGTCCTACAGCTTGTGCCCTTGCTGCTCCTCCCCAGTTCATCTCTCCACCACATGGGCTTGAACCCGGGTCTCCGGCGTCACTCAACAGGGGTTTTGCCAGCTGAGCTGAAGAAGACCTTCCTCAGGCCAGGTGGCCAAGATCCCTGTTATGCACAGGGGCGTATTCGTTACACTCTCCCCTGCTCAATTCGCCATCCTCAGCGAAGGGCAATCCCATCCTACTGCTAACACCAATGTAACAGATTTTGGTTCTCAGGCATGTGCCCTCACCACTCCCACCCCAGTTCGTCCCTCCATTACATGGGTGTGAACCTGGGTCTCCAGCATCACTCAAGATGGGTCTTGCTGGCTGAGCTAAAGAAGACCTTCCTCAGCCCAGGGACCAAATTCCTTGTTATGTGCAGGGGCGTATTCATTACAATATAATCTATTTGTAGCCATTGCTGCTGTTGCCTGTACGAAGATCTCAAAGTGCTAACATGTTTGTTAAGCAAGTCCTACTAATTCAAAATCCTTGTTGACTATATCTTAGAATCGTATTGTGTTCCTTTTTTCCCAGACGTGTCTTCTTTGCTGGTCCTTAAATTGCAGTCTGTGATTTTCCCCTTATTTTTTCTGCCAGAGGTTTTCAATGTGAAATGGTTCTTGTGATTAAGAGAGTGTTGATCATTTCAAAGAGAAAATGTGTTTTGATTATAGTCGTGGACTAGTCTAGCTCTCTGCCCCATTCAGAATTCGTCCAAAATATTTTTTCATAGCCTCCACCCCTGGCTCAGCTAAGGCACTTATTTCAGTCTTATCTGATCCCATACTCTGAACAATTTCGTTTCATCAAGAGATCTTTATTTGATATTTTATTTGGCTATCCCTGAACACAAATCCAAAATAAAAGTCCCAATTCACTGCAGAACTAAAGAACTAAAATTCCTGTGTTTTCAAAGAGGTATAGAAGATTGGGAAGCTGAGTGCTTTGTATGTAGATCTGGTCTTATATCTCTGTGGTAAAACAAAATATATTGTTATATAAAGCATACAGGTATATGTTAAACATATACACAAGTTATTTATGTCATATAACATGTTATATAAAATTAATACAATGCAATTAAATAGATACTGTTACACACACTCCTCTCCTCCCTCATCCTCTTTTATTGAATGCTCAAATAGAATAATCCTAATACTGATATGATGGTTTAGTTCCATTTACAGTATTGTTTCTATAACCTTACACATGATAAAAGTAAGATAACGTGGTTCATAATTTTTTCAGGTGGCGGGTATCTCTGGGAGTTTTGTTAATTGACTATGAAAAACAATTTGTTCCTTACATTTTGACTGAATACTTCAAGCCATGGAGGTCTATCTTAAGTGCTTCTAGTATCTGTAATATGTCTTCTTTGTCTATGTTAATATTATTTAATATAGAGTTTTGTCTTTCCTAAAACTGAGCCTATGTCTATTATTTCATTTATAAGCTGAGTGTATTATAATTTTACAATTTATGGTCTTTACCTATGAGATACTTCATCTTTTAATTTTGTTTTTTAATATTCTATTACTTCAAATATCTATGTTTGACCTTTCTATCTCTCTCTAAGATCCTTTTTAACCATGCTTACCACCCATAATACTTTTGTATTCTTGAGTGGATCTTGAGTGGATCTTGTTTTTGAACATGGTTTATAAACCTTTTTCTTTCACCTTATACTATTATTTATTGATTCACTTAATAATTTTATACTCCTTTCCTGACTTTGATTTATTGGTGAGGTTCTCATTTTAATGATTAATTGTTTCTTAAGCCTCTTCCTCTTCCATTCTGGTTTAAATATTTTAGAATTCCTTTGTGGATCCTTACCTTTAGCTGACTGGTTCCCTTCTTGTTCAGTCAATCATGTCCTCTTACTGTAGATAGCCTTTGCTGTTGAGGGATTTCCAGTGGCCTTCTTCTGAACATTGTGTTCTCAGCCATATGTTGTGCTGACAGTTTGTATTTGTTTGAACAGCTTGGTTTAGGTAAGATGCCAGAGAAAACATTTGATTTCAAGATTCAGTTGGAGTGTTTCAAGATTCACATTTGTCTCCGGCAATGATTATTCCTCTATTTTTGGGTGTAGCTTGGCATTATTGTTATTGATTGAAGGTGATGTGACTGGTATGTCTACAGTGCCTATGTTCAGGGTGTCCTGGACCTGCGGCCTTGACCATCCACCACAAGTTGAAGCAGTGTTGTGGGAGCTGTCTGGATAGACCTCTGTATTTTGTGTTCTTTAACAACCTAGGGCACTCTGTTGTCAACCTTGCTGCAGCCTAGAACAGACATGATGTTTAATGTTAGTCCTAAATCAAGACTAAACCAAAAAATAAATGGGTTACAGCAAAAATATTCTCATAGACACATCAAATAAATAAAATACAGTAAATAACAGTAAAGCAAACATCCTTTTTTGAAAACATAAACTTTTGTTATCTGTACTAGTGATATACACTATAATACAGTAATGAACAAAGAAATAAGTGCCAGACCTAACTACTGTATGCATTTGCATCAAAAGAATGTTGTTAAATTAAAAATGTAGGGGAAGAAAATGAACAAGTCACAGGTGTTCAATACATTAAACAGTTTAAGCATAATCTGTTGCCTCATGTACTTTATTTGCTTTTTTTCTTGCTTCTGTAGATTCCCCAATTACTGAGAGTCTTTTCCCATCGCATTCTTCTTTTTCCTGTGCCTCCAATGTCACAATTGTGTCTGACCTGTAAAATGTTACAGTAGTAAGATTCAATTTAATTGCCCATTTACTGTACATGCCCACTTCTGAATACTATCTAAATTACCTTATATTGACCTACAGTACATTTTTGTTGGCTTCTTCAAATAAATTCAGAAACAGGAACCATACTGACTATCCCCGATAATAACACGCTATTGAGCAGATGTAAGTCTAAAATTACCAATAAAATACTTTACCATATACGCTCTTTAAGATCATAGGTCTACAATTAGTGGTGTCAGTCCATTCCCTTCTTATATGCTGTATATTGGTATTATTTTAGCTGCATTTATATTAGTAGGAGGGTGTCTGTGTGTGCAGCTCTCTCGTGCATCAGGATTGCGGTGTGGCCCAAGCCCTGCTGTCAGTGACATTTCTATTGTTCCACAGGTGACAGCAGAGGGCAACAGTGAGGTGAGAGCAGTCCGGATGGCAGGCAGCTGGGGTCTTGCCTGCCCTGGATGCTCACTCTAGGAGCCCAACGGGCCACAGTTCACCTGCAGACAGTGCACAGGTGAGAGGCAACTTTATCATCATGGGTTGCAGTTTTAAATGAAACTTATACAAACAACATATTTCAGTTTTTCATTTTTTTAAAGAATATTTTCTAACATAAAACAAGTCAAATTAAAATAATTAATTTTGAGTTTCAGTGCTTAGAAATAAAAATATCACAGATAACTAAATTTCAATGTAGGGTTTATAATTCAGTAAAATGAGAAAGAATTGGGCAAGGGCCTGAATACTTTTCCAAGGCACTGTATGTAAAAACATAAGGACTTTCAACAGAAACACTTTCGCTTTTGTAGAAGCCTTCAACTTCATTTCACTCGCTCTTCTTGTTCAAGTGACCCTAGTGAACTGCAGACTGCGGTGAAAGCATAAATTCTTTGTACAGTATATGTGAAGAGTGTTTTCAGCTAGAAAACACACAAGAAATATTACTTTCTGGCATTCTATATACTTTATAGTTTGTTCCAGTCTTTCTTTCATTGCTTTGTTTTCTCTGCAACAATAATGCAATACATGTGACCAGGGGACAAATCTGGTTAAATAAAGGGCTGAAAATATCTCTTATATTCACTAAAAGTAAAAGAATATTAGACACAGAAGGTGACATTTAAAGCTTTATATACGAACACAACCTTATTTGTACATAAAGAATACAATGGTGTTTGCTTTTTATCTAAATTACACAAATAAAATTAAATAGCATTTAAATACCATTTATTTTGCATTTAAAATGAGAACGGGGTAATTACAGAAGACCTTGTTACTTTCTTGATTGTTTTTAATCTTTTTTTGATTGTCTTTAATCTGCTCACTTAAGCTAACAAGCCTTGTTACATGACACCTTTTTGCCAAAGGCTTCACTGGCATATGCTTTGTCAATAAAAATATTATTTTACTTTTTAGTGCTATCTTTTGTTACAAAAATGACATTTTATAAAGAACTGGATTTTAATGTTACCAACGCCAAGTACATGTCCATTCTATTATAAAAATTGACCCAGCATAGCAAAGTACAAGAAGAAATAAAACAATTGGCTTTAAATTAGACATTTGTATGTGCAATGATGACTTGTGTGTTTTCTTTCAAAACATCCATATTTTACAATTACATATTTTAAAGCCACGATCAGGCAATGATGCCTGTACCTGCCTGTACTGCAATTACTGGGGAGACTGGGATTAAAAATGAAGAGAGAGCCCACAGTATATGTTGTTTAATTGCATTGTATTAAAAAAAACCTCCAGCCTGTGCTCAGCTGAGACTCTCTAAGACATCAGAACAGCTGTTAAAATAGTGAGTTCATAGAATCTCAGATTCAAATGCAATCCATATTGCAATTCAATAAAGTTCAAGTTTTTTGTTGAAGTTCAAGATATTGGTCAAGTGTCTTTTGTTTCTTTCCTTTATCTTTATCATTTCCTTTCATGGAATGAACCTTTACATGTTCCAAAAACAATTAATAGCACAGGTTGGATAATACAATGATCCATGCAAAGATATGTACTGTAAGTTATCCTAAAAGTGGATGAAGGGGCTGATGTGTAGGATATATTTGTCTGAGTGGTTGATTTTGCCTCCTCTTACACTTCACTGCAGCAGCTGTGTTCTCAATAGGATTATGGTACAAGCAGGGGAATAGCTCAAGGGCATGTGTTCCTTCACTGGTCCCATGGGATTGTTTTAGGGTGCATGTTGGCAGCCTCAGTAGAATGTAAGAGATTAGGAAAGGATGATGATGAGAACAAGCCCGTCAGCCCATCAGCTTGTCATTTTCCCACATAACCATCACAGTATCAAGCCTAGACTTGAAAATTCCCAGCGTCTCGGCCTTCTTCTACATCTACGGTTGTGCATTCCACACATAAATGCCTTTCTATGTAAAAAAGAATTTTTTAATATTGGTGTGAATCTGCTTTTCAGACGTTTCCACTTATATCCCCATATTTTGCTCAGTCTGGGAACTGCTTTATTCATTTTTAAAGTATTTGAAGATCTACATAAGACTCCTTCTCAGATTGCTTGTACTGACACTACAATGATTAAATTCTTTCTGCCTCTTTTTATAACTCATTTTACCTTATACTGTACCTCCTTTAACTCTAGAATGGGTCTTATTGGTGTTTTTTGGACTTTTCCCAGTTGTCTTTTGTAAAGTGGTGACTAGAACTCTATGCAGCACTCAAACCATGGTCTAATTAATGCATTGCATATTTTCAACATAAACACACCTGACAAACATATTCGTTAAATTAGTTTTATTTAAAATACAGGAAACTCTACCATGGAGACATAACATACAATATATCAACAAATGTTGCCGCCAATGCGTTGGCATTAAGAAACTGTGAAAAATATCCTCATTCCATACAGATGAACAAATTATTGTCATTAGAACTTTTTTTGTTTGTGCTTCAGCATGAACATTCCATACTGTAAACGTTCATTTTGTGTCCCAGTGCAAACCATTGCCAAATTACTTCTTTTTTTTTCTTGCATTAATTTATGGCCACATGACCGGAACGCCATTGCACTTAGGCAGCCAGAAGATGTAAATATGGTATTTAAGGGATGTGTCTTATGTGTGAACTGCCATTGCTAGCTAGCAAGCTAGCCCAAATCAGCAAGTTTCTTCATGTTCCCCTAGATAGGGGATTAACAAATCTTCCAGGCTACATTTCATTGCTTCAGGCTCTTACTCCCAGGGTAGTTTTACCTACATTAGTGACTTTCATAAAGTCACTAACTAGAAACTTGTTTTGACCACAGTGTGGGGTCTGAAAATAACCTCCACCTTTATCCTCATTTTCCTAAAATAAATTGCCACATTTGTATGTGTCCTTTCTGCGTGATTTCAATACATTTCATAGTACTACTGATCTGACTTTGAGTAGCCATTTAATTTATGCTTTTGATCGACAGCTCTATCTCTTACAATGCACTGCCTCACACAAGAGTGTGTTTCTCACAGGGGGAAACAATAGAGATGAGTCTAGGATTTCTGTAATTATCAGCCTTAATCCTACAGAGTGACATTTTCTGTTGAAAACTTCAACACTGTAGATGTCGACTCTCAAATCTGTAGTATTAAAGGTTATTTAACTGATGAACCTCCTCAGTAACATGGTATTACCCCTAAAATATCATTTACAATGTTTCACATCAAAGTAACAGACTTAGACATAATATGAGAGCTTGAAAGTTTAGTCAATAATCTGATATGAATATGATATGAAATGATAGCAACCGATCCATACTGAATGCATTAGTTCAGTGGTATGGCCATTAGAGGATAATTATTAGTTATCAGTGGGGAGGAGAACAGACTAATGAAGCTACTTCATAGATGGGGATTATTAGGAGGCCATGATTGGTAAAAGCCATTTGGAAATTTTGGCAAGGAGACTAGGGTAAAACCCCTACTCTTTTTGAGAAACTTTTAAGAACCATGGAGAGTCAGGGCCTCAAAACAGATTTCTCTTCTTTAAAACAATTACACACTGCAAAAGTAAGCAGTAAAAAAGCTAGTGTTTACAGGATTATTAATATTAATACTGTAAGTAAAAATTACATGACTTTCCTTTTCCAATGTGATCATTTTCCTTTTAACAGAGCTTATCACGTGATGTCCTTTGCCATATTTTCTTTTGAAACCTATTTGCTAGTGCCATGCCATTCACAACCATCTGTAATGTATGAAACACCTAAATGATCTTCTTGCCTGTGTTGGCAGGACGGGTGCCCATGAGGTCGTCGACGCTGGTCCTGCTTTTTCTGATCAGCGTCCAGGCTGTGGCGAACATGGGAGGGGATGCCCATGCCGGGGATACAACTCAGCACAATGCCAAGCAATCAGAGATGCAACAGGAGCCGAGCGCCTTCTCCTCCAGCCAGCACCGCAACCCCAACATCCCAGACTCTATCACCACAGTGGACCCTAAACTCTTCAGCAAACGCCATTACCGATCATCCAGGGTGCTTTTCAGTTACCTGCCACCAGATGAAGAAGTGGGAGAAGAGGACGTCGAGGCCAATGGGGTGCATGGGACACTCGAGGGACCTGGGTCAAGGGTCAGACGGCGTGCTAATCCTGACAGTCAGGCCCTGCGTCGTGGGGAGTACTCAGTGTGCAAGAGTATTAGCACTTGGGTGGGCAACAAGACAAAAGCCACGGATATCAAGGGGCAGGAAGTGAGTGTGTTAGCAGAGTTCAATATCAACAATGTGGTTAAGAAGCAGTACTTTTTCGAGACCACTTGTGCTGGCAATGACTCAGGTTCCTCAGGCTGCCTAGGTATCGACAGCCGCCGCTGGAACTCCTACTGCACCAACACCCACACCTTTGTAAGGGCACTGACTGTGGACAAGAAACTGGTGGCCTGGCGGTACATCCGCATCAACACAGCCTGCGTGTGCGTGCTCAGCCGGAAGTCCTGGAGACACTGACCCTGACTTGACTGCCTACTCCCACTGAGGCCTCCCCCTGCCTTCTCTCACCCCACCCAAACAGCGACAACAACCTTAACTCCAACAAACTGACCCTCCAACCCCCTCTCCGCCCTCAGCTGCTCCCTCTTCCACTCCCTGCCCTACCTCACTCTGTAAATTATTATGTTAAGTTGTTTTAAGTTATGAGGACTGCATGTTATATTTATAGTTTATATGGTCAAAAAAACAAAAAATTACCAAAACGAACAGAAAGGAGCTTTTTGTTGCTGTTGTTGTTGTTATTTATTAAACACTTCTATACATGCCTACCGTGCCCCTGTCTTTCCTCAAACAGCCGCAGAGCCCTTGACAGTTTGTCAGAAGGGTAATTCTTTGATATTCAGCCAACAAAAGGAATTAAACAGATTTGCTTTACCATGACTGATGACTTTAGAAGAGTCTGTGTGCCTTTATAGGTTGCCTGAATGTAATGGAAACCACAGTTACTACAATACAGAAGCAGTCGTAATGGTGGTCCTACCCAATGTGATGATCCTGTCACTGGGTAATTATGCACAGTTAACCAGAACTGGATTTTTCACCAATGCTTCCTGGCAGTTTTCATCGCTCGGTGATGTGCTGGTGTGTAGTTCACAGATGGTTCATAAGAGGTTTTTTTTTAAGTTGTAGCACTTCTGACAGTACATTTAGCCTCTCTTGATCTTGTTGCGTCATCAGCCTTGCATGCTGTTTGCACATGAACTATCATCAGCCCTGCGTGCTGTTTGCACAAACACACATCACGATTGCATATACCATTTCGCAAACACACATTCTGAACCACACATATGTTACCATTCTTCATGATATTGTCATGCACAGAAGGTAGCAAGGACTGTGAGAACAAGAAATGAAACAAGCTAGTCTATTATACCCCGCTCATCTCTTGTCAACAAGGATAATTGTCTTCCATGAACATGAAGGAAACTGATAAGACCGATATGAGATCTGCACATTCTGTGTTGTGTGCAGGATGAGCAGGAGGTACAGTATGTGGGGAGATATCAGATCACATACAGTACTGCTCAGTCTGGTCTTGGTGAGCTCTTTTCAACACTTTCGCTAGGCTTACTCGTACTGGCATCTTCAGGTCTCAAAAAGTTGGGCTCTTTTGTATTATTGTTCCTCCATCTGGTTTGATCAAGAGTTATAACATACCAGGAAATGCTCAATTTATTATCAAGGTTAAAAATGGGCACAACTGATAAAGAGTTAATTATATAATTTAATAAAATAAATGATTAAAAGAACAGAGAGAAGACAGAAACAACCTAAAAGCAGAAAGGCAAATGTTTCACCAAGTGTTTTTATGTGACAAGCAGCGGATTAGAACAGAGAAAGTGTTTTATGTCAACCTGTCCTGCACATATTTCAACGATGAGACAACGTCTGCGAGTGTTTTATTTGGTATGTCAGCTGTGGTCAGGCTATTCATACAGTATATGGTGAATATCTGACAGGTGTGCTCATTTCTGCTTTGACAAGAAGATCCTGTCATTGAATCTTTGAATCTGCCTGTAGCATTAGTTTTGCTCATAAGCAAAATACAATTATTATTACAAGTAAAAATGATTTCATGGTTCATTTAACTTACCATTAGATAGGGAACATATTAGGATAAATACATGATCCACACTTCCCTTGATGTGCAGACCAGAACATTGAGCTCCAAGGTGACTTGTGAAAGACACCAGAAATCCATATTTTAAGATTTGCTTACCATGTCAGGGAACTTGTTAGAGCAGTGAAGAAGGCTCTAAGCCGATAGTTCTCCATTTCACCTCTCCTGGCCAAGATTATACTGACCTTTCTTTTTAAAAATCCTTTTACAGGGATTTCAGGATTCCTATTCAAGAAAATCAACTAAAACAGAGACCAATAATATCCTGAAATATGGATCATATTCCCTCCTTCTCTCAACAACTGACTGGTTTCTTTTTTAAAATCCTCTCCATTTTCATTTTCAGATTTTAGCTTTTCACACCTCTATCCCTGATCCCTGATCCCTCTGCCTGTCTGCCTGTGCTTGCTACAGTATTTCTCGCCTGCTCTGCCCTTTACTCACCTGTATTGGAACTTATCTCCATCTTAGACTCTCTCTCTCACACCTGAAATAGGCTCAGCAACCGAAACATAGTGTTTCTCCTTTCTTTGATTTGGCATGGAATTAACTTTTACTTGTTCCAATGTGGTCAAATGTGCATAGTATGGTACAAATTTGACTTCTGACATTGAGAAATGTGTAAAAAAAATCTTCAACTAATTAATAGTAACATGTTTTCCAAGGTATTTCTACAGCACATCTCAAAAGAACTTAGAAAATATCAAATGTTAAAGATGCAGTATGTTTAAAAATGAAAGACATGACACATTGAGATTTTATAAGGTTTAGAGTATAGAGCTTTCTCTTAAACCTGGTTATGATAGCTTTAAGGTATGAACCTGGTATTTAAAGGAGAAAAAAGGGACACTTATTTGCGCAATTTAGACAGCTACCACTTGTTTCACTCATTCCTTAGATTCCTTCTAATATAAGGCATAACACAACACCCTTCCAGCAGAGGTATGAATTGAAATGTTTCATTTTACACAGTTAAGTGAAAAAGGTTAATAGGGCCTTTATGGTGGTTAGGTTTAATCAGGATTCTTTGAAAGGAGAAGGATGGGCACCAGTGATTCGTAACACACTGCAACATGTTGTCAAAGAGTGTTCTCACCTGAAAATCCATGTGCAGTTATCAGGGTAAAACAAACATGAACGTCCTTCCTGAGAACTACTGTAAACATAAATACAGTATGCAAACACACAGTAGTAAGTCTGTATACAATTGAGAACTCTGGCTATACATATTCTTCAAAATACTTAAATATTAAATTAAAAAAAATACTTCTAATCCCTCCTTCCTAATTAGAATCATGTGCCTTAGTTTATCTTTATTATTTTTCAAAAGAACAATGTGTGATTGTTTAAAGAGTAAAAGGAGAAGAAAAGTCTAGAAAACACATTTGTAGCGGTAACCATGGAAAAGAGTCCTTGTGTTTTCACATGGTACCTAGTCCCTCTTTCTTCACCTGCCACCTCCTCCCATCTACTTCCCCAAAATTCAATGGAGCAGAGAAGAAAAAGATCAGGAAAGTGAGGCACAAAATATCTTGAGCTGCACTTGCAACTAAAAGTACCCTGTAAGGTCACTTCCATCTAAGGTGATGAAAAGCAATGCAAAATGCTGTAATGAAAATAATTCAAAGTCGAAAAAGGAGGTTTATGTGGGGAAAGATGGGAGAGGCTGGAAGAATACCCTGAGATCATGCCCCAGAGCATGCTAAAACAAAACAAATGAACTATTATTGCAATAATGAAAAATAATACTTAGAGTTCATACTTAAATCTCTATGATGCAATGTACAGTAGCTATGTAATGCTTTTGTTTAAGTCACTATTTTTTATCAAGATTGTGAGCAATCTGTTCTAATTTTGACCCCTGAGCATCAAGAGGCTGTCAGTGTGTTTGTACTGGGGTAGGCCGGCAATCAATAATAATCATAAAAATGGTCTAAAAGCACTATGCTCCTAGCTTCATCTTTGTTAGGGCAAGTATTTAACATTTTTCGGGAACCAGGATACTTGTTAAAACTTTCTCTTTGTTTCAGACTGTTTATTTATCCTGCTCTAAGCTTGAAGCTTTCCAAAGTTTGATCTTCACTCTGCTGACAGCTTACTGGCTTACTGTAACTTTGTTATTTCACTTCAGCTGCTTGTACATGCCTAAAACATGCTACAGTCTGTCTTGGTTTTGAAATACTTATTTGCAAGCTTACTTTGCTGATCAAAGTCTGCAGATTTAGGTCTGAAACACACTGACATGCTTTACACATGCTCTTAATAAAAGGGATTATGGAAACATTGTAAGAATACTTGGAGAAAATGTCCTAAGAGGCTCAATCACTGAGCTTAACAGTTGCACACACTGAACCCTATAGTCCAGACATCTTCAATTCAAGTTTGAGCTATGTTGTTACATGACTGGAAAAAGGACTTGCTGTGGTAACACACAACTGGGTGAGCACCTCTTTGCCAGGCACTAGTATAGACCACCCTGAAGGACATAAGCCTGTATGGTAGAGACATGCAGAATGATACTCTAACTGTTGCATGGACTTCTTCATTGACAGCCCAGTCAATAAAGATGTCCATGTACAGTATGATAGTCTAGGCAGGTGTGTCTAGCTGCTTCAAATCTCCACCTCCAGTGATTGACGCCTTGCACTACAGTGATGAAGTCAGGGGCCCTCACTTGCTGCCTTTCCTGAGGGCTAATTATGTTATAACATTTTACATCCTCATACTGCTCACGTAATCAAACTTTCTTGTGAGATCAGACTGTGGCAGGTATTCTATAGATATCCTGTTTGCTGGACTTGAGCTTCACTGAACATTTGTTGGATGAGCTAGGATGACATGTGGCATTATGGACTCAGAGACCAGTAAATATAGACCTATGCTTGTCCAGGCTCTAAGAGAGAAAAAAGACAATATTCCACAATGTAGTATCTGTAGCCTGATGCAAAGCATATCACAGATGTTCAGCTTGTATTGGTTCTCACAGTCGCTGCACATCCTTTCTAAACTGTGACTTTCACAGCAGACCGGCTGCTTATCAAATGCAATATGTTTATGACAAGTGTTAATTAGGATAAGGAATTTGCCTTATCTATTCAATCCAATGTCAGTACAATAAAAATAGATTTAGTCATTTTTTTAATTACACCTTTTTGAATTTGTTGCATTCCTAAATTATTAGTTATTTTGATGCTAAATATACTGTATACAGTATATTCTTAGACAAATTCCCTTGGGAAAGGGCTGTATAGATGTTTTTAAGATGGCAGCATTTTATATACTTCCCAGCTAAACATGGAGCATTTTGTCTCTATTTAAAATGAAAAAAATATATGATATTTTATTATCAGATGCTACATCTTAATAATAAATATAGCATTTTAATATTTATGTAAAACAGCAATTAACAAAATACAACTTAGCTATACGTAAGTTCTATTTTGTTTTTATGGGTGCTAAACAATTAAATCACTATCAAAATTATTGCATGGGAAATTAAGGTTGTTGAATATATGAATTAAAGATCTTAAGTAATTAAGTATGGTCTAATAAACCTAAGACTATAACAGCACTATTGTTTGGCTGTTAGTAGGGTATTCACACAGTAAAAGCAATCATTTTTGGGGGTCATCATT